TAGAGTGCAGCCCGCCCATGTTCCCTCGTTGGAGGCTTGAACACGGGCTGACTGCTACGGGGTTCCCACACTAATACTACAATGCAAAATAAAAAAGACCAGAAAGGCCACTGTCCTCTCCAGAGTCCATATTTAAAAAAAGACTCCCGCCGAGCCTTGCCGAGCCTAGAGCTATGGGTAGCAGGTTTTTCTTCACTTTTTGAAAACAGGTTTTTCTTCTCTCTCTCTCTCTCTCTCTCTCTCTCTCTCTCGTTGGTGTGTGGAATCCGGGCAGATGTCAGCGGTTCGGGGACCTGGGCCCGCTAGGCTTTTTTTTTTTTTTTTTTTTTTTTTAAGAGCGATGGCCTTGTCTTATCAAGTTATTACCATCGGACTAACCTGGGGCGTGGAGTCCTGGAGGCTGGACCCACTAGCGAAGTATTCTATGACGTGTGACACAGTTTTATCAACTCTTATGGTTTTTCGGAAAATACAAAGTGGCCTGATAGCCTTAGGGTGGCCTGATAGGCTGTGATAGCCTTTTCAGCCAAGGGTGGATTGATAGCCTTAGGGTGGCCTGAGAGCCCAGGGTGGCCTGATAGCCTTAGGGTGGCCTGATAGCCTTAGGGTGGCCTGATAGCCTTAGGGTGGCATGATAGCCTTTTCAGCCTTAGGGTGGCCTGATAGCCTTAGGGTGGTCTGATAGCCCGGGGTGGCTTGATAGCCTGAGGGTGGCCTTTTCAGCTTTGGGGCAGGAAGCTGGTGGCCTCTCTCTCTCTCTCTCTCTCTCTCTTGTTGGTGTGTGGAGTTAGTAAACGGTATGTGGAGTTAATCTTGCCCTTTTTTTTTCCCGTTTATTTTCCCTTTTTCCCTCTACCACCCGCCTGTCCCCCAGCCGTCCCACACCAGTCACACTGTTCCACATACGTGGCTAGTGGGATCGCCCTCCTGGAATCGGAAGTTCCGCCTGTGGAACGGTTGCCTTGCGGAGAACATTGTCGTTTTTTTAACAAGGGACAGAGAATATCGGCGTTTTTTTCTTTTTGCATCCGAGTTCTGAGTTTTTCTTGTTGTTCTTTGGTTGTTTGTTTTTTTGTTTCATGTCGTCTTGTGTTTTCCCTCTGATGTCCAGGTGTTCTGCACTTTGCGTTCATCGTTTTTGCCTGTTTCATAGCGTTTCTTTGCCGCTCTGACGCCGACTTCGATCTCTGTTGCGAGTTGGCAACATTCTCAGAGGGTTCCCACATCGTCTTTTTTTCGCGGTTGGCGACTTTCATCATGTCGCAGGACCGGGGAAAGGATCCGGTAGACTCGCTCACGACCGCCCGACAAGGTCATAACACGAAGACGTTTGACTCGCCGTTCAAGGTCGACCCAACAGTCGACGGCAAGCGGGACGACCCGGTGTGGCATTTCGTAGCCAGAGGGCATTATTTGGATGGGTCGACCGCGGCGGGCAGGAAGAGCGGTCGTCGATGCCTGTGTAGGTTGTGCGGGCATTCAATTTGTGGGGGCGCTAAAGCCGCCAAGGAGCACTTCTCGAAGAGCGAGAAGTTCCGATGTGAGGCAGCCACTCCTGCTATGTGGAATGCGATCTGGTCGAAGGACATGACAAAATGTCCAAAGGAGTTCGCGTCGGCCATAGAAACGTTGCAGAGCCACTTGCCAGGTCATCCGAGCTTGCAGTGGCCACCTCTTCGATTCCCCGAGGACGAAGTGCCGCCGCTGGTTCCTCCCACCGCCCCTTCTGGAGTGGTTGCATCGCCCAATTCTGGGTCTACGGCCATTTGAGTCACGGTACCGCGTCCTGCAACAACAGTTGCAACACGACCGGCAGCCCCGCCGTCTGTGCCGCTGGCTGGGACACGAGGTGCTCGCGATGTGGGAGTTGGTCGTTCCACGCCAGCCAATGAGCCCCTGCCTCTGAGGGATGGTGTGGGCTCTGCGACATTTGACGAGGAGAGCACACGTGCATTTATTGAGAGTTGCAGGTGGGGGGGGAGTGCCGGCAGTTCAGCGCCCGCGCTCGCCCCTGTTTTCAGGAGTGGTAGGCAATCAGATGCCGCACGGGGTGGTACTGCGGTGGCACGTGGCGCATCACCCCGCAGTTCGTCGGAGTACCCCTGGCTGCCACCGCCACCGTCGAGAGCGGCGCAGCGTCCAGTGGTCCACCGCGCTCACGGAACCGCCCACCCGGATCTGTCATTGCATGTAGTCCCCGCTCCGGTGTCCGATTCATCGCCGACCCTTGTTCCGACAACCACGGGCGGTGGTCGGTCTGCCCCACAGCCTCCACCCGTGTTGACCAGAACGTTAGACCCTTTGCAGCGCATTCGTGACCTTGCAGTCGCCCAGAGCGCGGCACCTGTGAGCCCTGGCGGGTTGTTGGATGCTGGGGTCCTCGGCGGGAGAGCTACGACGGGACGATGTCGGGGCACTTACAGGCAGCAAGCCGTCACGTCATATTATTCGGAACCTTTGGAGCGCGCATGGCATCTGCAAATCATGCGGTTCATCGTCGAGAGCGGGATGCCGTTCAACAGCACGAAGCTTGAAAGTTTCAAACGCATGTTCACGATGATAATCCCGTCGGGGGTTCCAGGGGCGCCCGCGCCTACATTTCCCTCGTACCACATGCTGCGCACGACCCTTTTGGACGAGCTGGATGGTGAGGTCCACAAGTGTGTTCGGTCGGTGCTTGACACGTCGAGAGAGACCGGTTGCACAATCATGACCGATGGTTGGACCAACATCCGTGGTCAGACGTTGTGCAACTACCTTGTTGGTACAGAGATCGCGGTGGTGTATGTGTCCACCGAAGTCATGCGCGGCAAAAAGGACGCCAGTTCCCTCGCGAACGCATGGTTGAAAAGGGTGAAGTCCATGGACGTTCAATGAGCGACATCACGGCGTTCGTGACGGACTCCGCCGGGGTGAACGTCGCGGCGATGGAGGTATTCCAAAAAGACATTGATCGGGAGCAGCAGGACGCTACTGTGGAGGTGTTCCACAGGCGGCGCACCATGTTCAAGACCCCTCCCACATGGCAACCATGCTGCTAGATCCAGAGTTCCGGGACGCGACGCTTTGTGATGATGCGAAGGTGCAGCAGGCCTTGGTCGAGGCCCTTGTCCAGTTCGACTACCCGGAGGATTTGCCGCAGCACCGGGAGGTCCAACGAGCGGTCGCCAAGCTCCACACGAGGGAGCCCCCTTTCGATGAGCTCACCATGCGGCGAGCTGCGGATATCTTTAATCACCCTGCCAGTTTTTGGTCCTCAAAGAAGGCGAAGTTCCCTCACACGAGCGTGGTCTCATTGGAGCTTCATTCATTCGAAGTCTCGCAACAGGTTGGAGGTTCCCCGGGCTGAGAAGCTTGTGCGGTGCCAGTGGAACCTCAGGCTACTCGATCGACCTTTGTTGTGCGACGATGGTGTTGGAGAGAGGCCCGGCGTCTTCGGGAAATGGGTGCATTATTGGCAGGCCGTGGAGGACGAGGCAGCCGTGGACCAGCTGCTCGTCAGAGGCACCGGTGTGCTGGCGAAGGTGACCGAGGAGGATTTGAGTCTCGCCAAAGAGAGGATACATGCCATTTCCCACATGGGAGCCGAGCGTCGGGTGGCGGAGTCGGACAGGAGGCGATGCAGGGTCGGTGGTCGGGGACGTGGCGGCCGTGGACGAGCAGGTGTCGGAGGACGTACACGTGGCGATGCGGGTTCCGCTCCTCAGACTCGGCGACAACGGACGGATAGTGGCATTCGCAGGGCCCGCATGCGTTGGGACGAGGGTGACTTCTTGTTCGACAGCACATCCAGCGACGACGACGATTTCTTTGCGTCGGGAACACATGCATCCACGGGCGATGATAGAGGTGACGCTGACGACAGAGGCGATGACAGAGACGACAGTGACGACAGAGGTGATGGCGCAGGGCCCGGGGGAGGGGGAGGGGGAGG